TGACTCAGTTTGATTTGTAGCAGTTATGAACACCTGAGTTTATATAAGTCCATCTAGTCAAAACAAATACATCTCCCACTTGTGGGAAAGGATAGGTGCTATGATGGCAATACAGATTTGGGAGGAGTGATTATATTCATAGTAAGGGCAGAATGGGCCATTAGATCATATAGTCTGACCTCCTGGATATTACATGCCATTATAATTCACCCAGTTATTCCTTTACTGAGTTCAATAACTTGTGTTTGACTAAAGCATGTCTTCAAGAAAGGCATCCCATCTTGATTTGAAGACACCAAGAGATGGAGAATCCACCCTTTCCCTGGGTAGTTTGTTCCAATAGTTACACATCCTTCATTAAAAAATTGTGCCTAATTTCTTAGAATTTGTCTGGCTTTAGCTTCCAGCTATTGGTTCTTGTTATGCCTTTCTTTGAAAGATTAAAAAATCCTTTAGTATCCAGTACCTTCTCTCAGTGAAGATACTTGTACATTGTAATTAAGTCACCACTCAATTTTCTTTTTAATAAACTAAACAGATTGAGTTTTTACATCTCTCACTGTAAGAGTCAAGGTTATGGCTGCTAGCTCAAGCCCTCAAACCAACTGTGGTCAAGGATTACCAATAAGTGCCATCAGAAATAGACAATTTTCTTTAAGAACCTAGAGAGAGCCCACACAAAGAAACACTTGTTAGCTGATTGGCTAACAATACATATTTGAATACTTGCATGCCAGATATCTGTGATTGTGTTTGTGCTGATGATGATCCATTTACATGCAGAACACAGGAAACACCACTTATTTGTCTTAGGCTAGGTCTACACTGCGCGGGGGGGGGGAATCGATTTAAGATATGCAAATTCAACTACGCGAATAGCGTAGCTGAATTCGACGTATCCTATTCGACTTACCCCACTGTGAGGATGGCGGAAAATTGACCACTGCAGCTCCCCCGTCGACAGCGCTTACTCCTTCTGATGAGGTGGGAGTACGTGCATCGATTCGGGGATCTATTTATCCGTCTAGATGAGACGCGATAAATCGATCCCCGAGAGATCGATTTCTACCCGCTGATCCGGGCGGGTAGTGTAGACTAGCCCTCAAAATGGTTTGGGGATTACATGGGCATAAGATCTAATGGAAAAAGAGTGGAAAAACAGAAGCACTACAGTGCAATTGCTTACATTTTTTTCCTCCTTACTGTTTCTCCTTATAACTTCTTACCTTATGTTTCTATGTGGAATACTGATGAGACTAAGCTGATGTGGTCATTATGGGGTAATAATTGTGGGTACCAAGCACCTTCCTGAAACCACCTATTCTTGGTTCACTTGAGATAGGCAGGTTGGTTGAGCTTTTTATGCCTGTCCAATACAGGTGGTTTGGAATTTTCCAACTACAAGTTTTTTCATCAGAAAATACCAATTGATCAAACCAGAAAATATTTGTGGGAAAGGGTCTCTTTCAACAAATCTCCTGATTTGAAATATTTTTGAAGCAAACATTTTGAATGCTCAAAAGTCCTGTTTCAATAATTTTAGAAATGAAAAGTTTGGATTTTCAGTTGGAAACAACTTTTTGTTCAGACATTTTAATAAATGTACGCATAAGTTGAAACTGAAATAAAATGTTTCAAAATGAATGAACTGATCAAAAAAAATTCAGATTCTGGTCATGACATTTTTCAAGATTGACTTTTTGTCCCTAGTTGGTATAGGGAAAAAGTTTCAAAGTCTCAAAATTATTGTGGGACAGGAACTTTTCCCACACAGCTCTACTGTCCATCTCAAAATAGAAATTTGGCTGCAAAGAATGCAGGACTGTATTTATCAAGAAGTAGATCTGTTCATTTCATGTGTTCATTTCCCTGCTTCAGTTGCAATTCAGTGTGTCTGATTTTATTTCTACAGTAATTAGCAGATTACCCTTAAAGTATCATGAGCTTATCATGGGTAAATCCTACAGGAATTTCTTTCCATTTGCATTCTAAAAGTAACAGCATATTATATTTCTTCTTAAATTCTTGCTTTATTGCTACTCTGACATGTAATTCTGTACAAATTAGGGTCTATCTACCCATGTAGTTATATTTAATCTATCACTACAGTAGCTATATAGTTATCTTGAATTTAGGCATATTACTTAGCTTTATGTACAGAATGGAATATAGTAATGCAGAGTTTGCTGTATAGGAATTATAGTTCACCTTGCAGTTTATTTATTCACATGTTCTAAACACTTGAGTTCACAGAGCCAAAAATGTAATATCACAAGACTTAAATCTGGAAGATTTCTCTTTTTTCCTCTAGCCCCTTGTCTTCCCCTGTCAGCACCCACCCCGTTCATCACCAATGCTGTCAAAACTGACAGCACCTGAAGCAGTGAGAGAGGTTGACACAGTGGAATTTTACTAAAATGTCTTCATATTCACCTTTAGGAATGTCAGTTTTTCACCATTCTTAGTATTTCAGACTTGCTTGTGACAAGTTTTCCATTAGTACTGAAGATGCATTCCAAATAGACATTTGTGGATAGCTGGATTGCTTAACTGCAGCTCCGCCTAAAGCAGAGCAAAGAGTAGTCTGATACCAGTAAACAAGAGACTCTTTACGTTTTCAAGCTTTTCATTATTGTGGATGAGATAAGAAGTGGGATGGGGTTGCTAGAGAGAGGACAATCTCAGGTTTCAGTCATTCTACAAGATGATTATTTGTTTTACAGCTAAAATTAAGATCGACATAAATTAGGTTCAATAATCATTCATACCATCATATGAAATGATGAGAAAGGATGTAAAAAAACATACTTCCTTTACCATCTTGAAGGAGCTAGATACCTTTAGTCCATTTTCAGGCTTCCATTTTGGAATGTCTGGTAACACTGCAAAGTTTAGGATGAGTTTAGAGGTGCACAGCCATGTTTCCTGCCGGACAGCACCATGTACTCTTTTCTGTGCAGGGGAACTCCTCTGTAAGGCGGCAGCCCAGGAGCAAGGCCATAATTTCTGCCCCCTTTCCAGACAATGATTTGTCTGGTCAGAGAATCAACGAAGTAGAGTAAGAGAGTGAGAGTGATAGTTAATCAGAAGACAGGAAATTTAAACTGATAAGGGGCAGACTGCCCTTCTACAGCTTAGGGCCTGCAGAGCCAGGGGGCAACTCAAGGAGAAGCCCAGCAGGCAGGTACTGGGAATTAGCTGATCAAGCTAATGATAGGCCCTGACTCCAAGCTGCAAGATATAAGTAAGGAACCAGCTTTGTGAGGGGGTGAGGGAGAAGGCTGGTGAGGCAAACCTTTCCCTGAGCAGAGGCAGAAGATTATCCATAGGCTAGGGCTTGTTGCTCGCTGGCATTGCAAGCCTTTAAAGGGGCAGACCACCCTGCTGCATAGGTGTTGCCAACTCTTACAATTTTATCACAAATTTTGTCATATTTGGTATTTTTATTTAAACCCCCAGTTCCTAGAATCCTGTGATTATATGAGAATCTCGGGGTTGTTTTGTTAGTTTGTTTGTTTGGGTTTTTCTAAAGAAATGTCTAGTCCTTACAGTTGTGGAGAAAGGCTTGAAAATGTGATCTGAGTGCACCCTAAAGGCAAATAAAAAACCAAAAGGCAAATAAAAAGAACCCAAAATGTATTTTAATAAAAAAAACCCTTCATGATTTTGGGACCCTGATTCATGACTTAATTTTTGGGGTTGTCAGTGCTGTTATAATTTCAATTTGTACTTTAAAATGTAGTCTTTTATCTCTGTAACTTGTGGGGTAGTACTCTTGTAGTTTTAGGTACTTCAGTGTAGGGATGCTAGGCAATATTCTGAAGTCCTGACTACATTCCAGTGTGGGTAGTTACATTCTGCTGATCTATAATTGTTTCTATTCTGTTGGCTAAGGTGGTGTTTTAACTTCCTGCACGAAATTGGTTGCTCTGTGCCCATATACACTTTTTAATTTCATACCATTGATTGCTGCATTTCTGTATGCAATTAAAATTCTAATCAGTTTACATTTGTATTTGTAAGAGTGCTTGGGAATCCCAGGCTATTTAAAGCATATATTAAATGTAAATTATTACGGTTGAGGGATCCTGGGATCTGGCCCTTGGGGCAGAACTACACCAAAAACTGTGGCAAAGCCTAAATACTCTGTAAAGACTTAATATATTGTCTCATATGCAAAGGCATCCCACAAACTCACAAGCCATTCCTTCAACCTGGCACTCACAAGCCATTCCTTCAACCTGGCACCAAACTTTTGCCTTTAGTCCAGTAACCAACGTCTGCCCAACTGTATATGCAAAAAAGCGTAAGCACATCCATGCCCCGATCCTGATCTTCTGTCATTCAGGTGCTGTAGGTTAGAAAACAATGAGACAATTGTAGTTTTGGGCAACAGGGCTACATTCTATCAAGTACCATATTTCCCTTGGGAAGCTGTGACTAGCAGTTGTCATTCTGTGTCATGTAACAATATTTGCTCATACTCTGTGGACCCTGGCTAACTGCACGTGCGTACCTAACAGCCTGCATTCCCAGAGTCATGCCGTTTGGTGTTATCATTGACTGCCAGGAACACTGAAGATGATAACAACTTTCTGTTCTGACACTATTTGAGGAAAGACCCAGAAAGGAGGGCTACAGTTATGCAAATGAAAAAATGCAGCCAATAGTTCTACATAACAGCAGAAGAAGTGGATGGAATGTCGCACTTTATCATATTTATATATAGTGTCTGTCAAACACAGTAAACAATGACATCTGAGAAGCTAATGGTATTTATTATGGGAATGCATAACTGAATTTGTCTTGAAATTTTAGTGTGTATGTAATATATATATAGAGAGAGAGAAGTCTCAGGAGAGAAGACAAACAAATGACGTGCACTCTTAGTGGAAAGCACAGCACTAATGGGAGTAAATTACTGAATGACACCATCATGTCCAAAAATCAACGTATACAGAAATTCACTCATTATGCTCTGTTTCTTTCTTTCTAATCAGACATATCCTTTGTGATGACTAATGGTCACCTCACTGATGCTTCTGGCTGGCAGCACTTACCTAGACATTGATTCTGGATGAGGTCCAGGTCTCTTCTACTGACAGTAGGTGGATCTGATGCTTTTTGCTGCCCATTGTTACATTGTTATTTTTTCCAGGATCTGCCTGCAGTGTAGTATACTTGGTGGAAGAGCCAAGGGAAGTGTGAGGAGAGAGAGCTTGGAAAAACATAAAAGAGCTCTAAGTCTGGTTGAACCTCATGGAGTCCAAGGCTTTATGAAACCGAGACTTTTGAAAAATATACCGAAGGCTTGTGTCCAAGTTCCTACTAGCCTTTATGATCTAGCACCTGTCAGAAGAGTGTGTGCGTATTAAAGGTGCTATACCCAGGAGTGTTGGTAAAACACTGACGTTGGCAGTCTTACATATCTACTAACTTCAGTAGGTGTTGTTACAGGATGTGGAAATAAGGACTTGTCTACATGGAAGGGTAATGTGCTATATGGTCCATGTAAATCTTGCTGGCACACTTTAATGGAATGCTGTTTGAAACCATACTACATTAAAGTGCAGTAGGGAAACTTTTTTGTGCACCAGCAAAGTCTACATGGACCAATTAATGTGCAACACATGAGTGCACTTTAGAAATCACAACACATTGCCCCACCATGTAGACAAGCCCTCAGATCCATTGGAACGGTTTGATAAGTATTGTGATGGAGTCTCCATCACTGGCAATTTTTAAATCAATACTGGATTTTTTTGAAGGGTATGCTCTAGTTCAAAAGGAGTTATTTTGAGGAAGTTCTGTGGCCTGTGTTATACAGGATGTCAGACTAGATGATCACAATGGTCCCTTCTGGCCTCAGAATCTATGAATCCCAAGCTCTATCTTCTTTCCATCCAGTAGGAGTGAGTAGAGAAGCACCATTCCCCACAAACAAGTGGGATCCCCTGCTCCTTTGCTCTCTTCCAGGAGCATTGAGGGTGCCCTATCTCCTCTCCTCGTCTGTCTTCAAGATATGCAAGCCTGGGACCCGCTATCCAAAGAGAGTGTTTTCAGAGATCTGGTGGTTTGCCACTCCTCTAATCCATTCTCTCTCCATCTGGCAGCAGCAGATTCAGGAAACACCTCTTATTATACTATACTTTGAGTGCTGTGGGGCAAAGATGTAACATAACGGACTAAGCTAAGGAGTAACCCCACTCAGAGGCATTGCTCATCTCACCTTTCCTATAGGAAGTGAGCAAGATGAGGTTGTGCAGAAGAATCTCTTCTCTATTACCCAGACCAAGGAGTTCTCCCCTGTATTGTTATGAAAAGAGGAGGGTCATGCCTCAATTTAGAATGCATGCATTCCCAATTTGGGGCACTGTTAGCATCAGTGGACAGAAACTGGTAGTTGCTAGGGCTTAGTGGAATGCATACCTCTAAATATTAGAGTTCTGATCCTTATTTCAAACCCACAATGTTTGAGTGAATTCAAAATTCAGCAAATATGCCTGCTCATTATAAGTTCTAACAGTAACTCACTAGTGTCACTAAAATAGAATGTCATCTTATCTGTTTTAAAAAAAAATTTGGCTGTGATCTGAATAGTATTTATAATGAACTTGCGTACCTGAAACAGATTATCTTCTGTTTACTTTCATTTTGGCATTTGTGATGTATATGTTCTGCATTATAATAAATATTAACATTAAAAGATAATGTTAAAGATGGGCCAAAGCCAAAACAGTCCTCTGGCTCTCAAAGCACCTGAACTTTGTGGAAGTTTGGATCATATCCAAACTTTGGAGCAAGTCATTCTTTCTGGATAAGATCAGAAGCAAAGAAAAGTTATATTTGCAAAAGTAAGGGAGTCCTGTACCCTAGTGGAATTCAGAATAAGCTTAGTACAGATGCACATTAGAGCAGGCTAAACTGCTCAGTTTTATGGAGCAAGTATTTGCATATATTAAATGACAGTGTTCAACCTACAGAAATTGTCTTTTGTTTTCAGGAACAAAATATTCAAGGCGACATGAAAAATATCCCTAATTTCGAGAACTTGCCTAAATGAGGATTCATTGATATTATGATATCTTTTTCCTGTAGTGTCACTAACTAAACATTAATCAGATAGCATTACAGCACAAGATGGAGCACACCAGAGGGGACAATCCTGCGCTAGGGGGTGAAATAGCTTACTTAAAAAGACTCACTGAAAACATTATATATTTCTTACAATTTGTTAGCAACTATAAGTGACTCAGACATTATCTTATACAGTTAACAGAATGCCTCAGAAAAGAAAAGACTTGTTAAATAAATGCATTTTCAAAAGAGGAAAAGAAGCCCTATACACAATAAAAATGAATCTTATATAAATGAATAGAACACAGCTCATTAGGAAGAATAAATTCCTATTGTACCTGAAGGTAAAATACAATAGAATGTAGGCCTGTTTAAAATTCCATTCAATTAATATCATTTGTGCATACTAAAGCAAAACGTATTTCATAACACAACGGATCCCTCTTAAATGACTTTTTTTTACTATTTAAAGTTATTGTTCTACAAGTTGCATTTTCTACAATATTGTTTTTAAGAAACCATATTTTTGTGAGTGTGGTGTACTGATTTGTTTTAAATGATTCATCACATTGTAGAGACAATGGTATGTGTGTTGAACATGTAAATATTTAGAGGTGTACTTAAGTTACGATACAAGCATGCATTGTATACTATTACTACTGCTTTGTAAAAATAAATGTATTCCAAGGTCACTTAGAGGAGTAATTGGTAAAAAGAGGGCTCTAAGGAAGAATATTGCATTGCCACTAGGCCATTCAATGGTTGGCTTGGACTTGGTAATCTGTTGTCTTCGATTATCAATATAGTGAAGCTGGAAAAGCAAGTGTTTAGGAGCCAAATTCACAAGTCACCATGGTATTCAGATGAATGCAACTTACAAAGTGGCAGGGAAGATGATTACATAGTAGGTAACAGAATTTTCATTCCAAGTCAGACTGACTGAGATGAATGCTTAAATAGCAGTGCAGGATGAGAGAAAGCATTCCTGTATCTCCACTGTAGCAGCCATGATCACTTCTGGGTGGTAAACAATTTGGCTAATGCATTATTGTTTTCAACCAGTGACAGAGTTAAATGTTTCTTGCTGTGTAATATTGCTTTTGTTTTGCTAACAAGGCCACTTCGACGCTGACTGAGCTGTCTGACACCTTAGGCTTCTGTTCTGGAACTTCAGCCACTGGTGTTCACTGATGTCCTAGAGATACTGGAGAAGTGTGTGCTGCAACATGCGAATTAGATCCATACCCCTCTTGACTGGTGAAGGCCAATTGGCAAGTGTTGGTGCCTTCTTTGGAGTTGCCTATCAACACATCCCTCATGGAGAACAGGCTGACAACTTCTCTTTAAACAGCAATTGTTAGACCTTTACTAAAGAAACCAGTTTTCATGCTGACAGTTTCTCATTGTCTCACTGGCTCAATTTTTCCTTTTTCTGGGAATATTATCTAGAAGATTGCAATCAGACAACAGCATGTTGGGTCTTCAGGTCTTTTTGAACTCCAATCAGTTTGATTTAAAGCCTTATAGCAGAGAGTGTGCTAATTGTATTGGTTGATGATCTGCCCTTGGCAATGGACAAAGTTCACCATGCTGATTCTCTTGGATCTGTTAGCTGCCTTTGTTGTTGATAGCCTGCTGTCTCTATAGCAGGGTAGATGAATCATTCTTACATGGACCACTTGATGCTTTGTCAGATGTAATTCGGGGCATTTATTCCACTGTCCCAAGATCACTCCTATGGTGGATTCCACAAGGTTCAATTCTGGGACCACTCCTGTTCAATCTGTCTGTGGGGCAGTATATAAACTGTAGTGTCTTTAATACATGGGTGACACTCTGTTCTATGTTTCCATCTCATCTGACTTTTCCTGTGCAGCTGAGCAACTTAGTGTCTGATACAAATTGGGATCTGCATGGGGGATACTTGTCTCAGGCTAAATCCAGATTACAATGAAATAATGTTTGATAAAGTGGGGAAGTAACAAAGAAATGAGAAAAAAATATATTGGTGTGTGATGTGGTGAAAGGGCTGAAAGGGGTTAAGGTGGCCAGGTAGCCCAATTATCTCCACAAGCTGCACCTGGAGGAAGAGCCAGGGATCATGGAACTAACTGGAAGCAGGTTTAGCTGTGCAGAAACAGGTGGGGCCTATATAAAGCCAGGTAGCTGGGATTATATGGGGGCCTCTGGGAAAGGCTACAGGAAAGAATCACTATGTGGGAAGAGGGAGGAAGGTTTTGGAGCTGGTACACTCAGAAGGAGAAGGGGAGTCAGGTGTGCTAGGAACCAGTCCAGGGAAGGTGCAGTGAAGGCTGATAGAGGAAGGCCCAGAACTGCTGAGCTGAGGGTCCCTGGACTGGAACCCACAGTAGAGGGTGGGCCTGTGTTCCCCTACCAGCCACTGAGGGAGTGGCAGTATGGGACAATGGAAGGCTGGGTCATGAAGAGGACTCTGTGGTTCCTGGGATGAGAGAGGAGCTGCAGGCCTGTGAGAAAGACAGAACAATGGCATGCAAACTGTGGAAGGGCGTGTTGACCTCAAGAGCTAATCCCAGAGTTACCTGGAGGAGTTGCTAGACCAGCTGAGAGTGGTGTACCCTGTCACATGGGGCCACCAATATAGTGGTGCCAAATGACTCCATTTCTTACTCGGGTTTACTTTCCATTTCTTACTCAGGGAGTTGTTCCAGCTGCTCCTGGGTGGGCAGGTGTAAGTGGTTGTCAATAGTTTTAATGTTTGCTTGGTAAGAAGGTTCTGACTTTTTTCTTTCAGATGTTATGCAAGCCTATTTCACTTCCAGATAGTAGTCCTTGTAGTAGTTCAACATGGTGCCACACCTTAAAAAAAACAATTCAGAAATTACAGCTAGTGCAGAATGAGCTACAGATTTAAGTAGTGTTTACTATGGAGTTCCTGCTGCACACATGAACTGTGATCTGCATTGACTTCTAAATGACTTCTAGGTGAAATTTAAAGTGTTTGATTCTTAAAATTCCTACCTGGTTTGGGTCTTGGCTACCTCAGTGCCATATCACATCTGTTCTGATCAGTCTGGGTTTAAAAAGGAGGAGAATGATGGAATGTGCTTCCACATTCTTTGGTTTACCAGAGTCCTTATTTAGTGACCTCCAGATCACTCTTCAAAGCTTAAACATTCTCTCAGGCTACCTGGATGTGAGGATGGGTTGAGCATATAGGATTTTGTGGTGTAACAGTGAGTTGGAAGGGGTTTTAGTTTTGGAGATTGGAACAATTTGTCTGTTCTCTTCTAAAAAAGACTATTTTGTTTTTGTACGGTAAATTCAGCCTGAGGTTTGGCTAAGGGCATTTGCAATAAATGCAGTGTTTCTTAAAGTCATAGTTTCACCTCAAAAGGTGTCAGATTGATGGCATTGGAGATTAAAGTAATCTGTTACTTCACAGACTAGCTACTGGACAGGCAGCAAGCTTCTCTACACTGCCTTACCAATATCCTGTAAGACTGATCTTGAAAGGCCCCATCTCTGTAAATGAGAGAATTCAATCTCTGCTCCTGCTCAGTCTTTGGCCTTTCTGCTGACAACACCAACAGCCAAACACCAATTATGATGATGATTGTTTGGGGAAAAATACTTCTCCAGTAGGCATTGGACTAAGTTCAACTTCATTTCACACAGCAGTATTGAACAGACATGAGATTGTTGGCCCCTGACCATTAAATAGTACAAATGGTACCTAGAATTGTTATACCTTCTATATCCTGTCCTCCCTGCCCCACCCCCCAATCCAAACAATTAAACCTATGCAGCGTGATTCTGAGACTCCCTAAATTCCTTGTATCTTTAGTCATAAGGTTAATAATACAAGTTTGTGTTGTGTAGAAATATGGCACTATTAAGCAGCATATTGCATTAGAGAACCTCACTGTACAATGAGTTAAAAATTTCAAGGTAAATGTTTTACAAAAAATACATCAGAGGTCGGCAACCTTTGGCACGTGGCCTGCCAGGGTAAGCACCTGGCGGGCCAGGCCGGTTTGTTTACCTGCCGCGTCCGCAGGTTCAGCCGATCGCGGCTCCCACTGGCTCCAGGCCAACGGGGGCTGCAGGAAGCGGCGTGGGCTGAGGGATGTGCTGGCCGCCTCTTCCCGCCGCCCCCAATTGTCAGCAACGGAAAACCGCGGCCAGTGGGAGC